CATTCACATTTCGGGTTCTATATCTCTGAGATGAGGTATTATGTATTACTGTCGCACCCGTATATACGTTAAAGATTTGGGAAAGGGATCGCTTCTTTGTACTGCCTCCTTCGGACACGTCCTATTTTTACAAGGGGCAGATCGAACCAAAAATAAGTACTGTTACCATATCTGGGTTGAGGCTGCCAAATCTTCACTTTTCAGCCTAAACAGAGTTCAAAAGCCTTTACGCGGCGTTGTGTGTGATGAATTATTTTCCACTCTACAAACCCTTTCCCACAGACTAAACGTTGCTAACCTCTCGCAACTCTATCGCTATTTCCATGGCAAATGTCCAGATGATATACATCCGTTAGTTCCACCACGTAAGACCTTTAAAGCTAAAACCCGCCAGCCCACGTACAAAGTCAACACCCTCATTTCTTTCATATTCCATTGGCAAGGAAGATGTTCCACCCAAACTGTTTCTTTCCCAGAATGGTTAGGTTGTGGAACAAGCTGCCGAAAGGAAATTTCTTTGATCCTATGATTTTAATCTCTCCAAGTCGAGGTTCAGCCGTTAACTATCTTCTATATTCTCACAATATGCTCCTCCTATTCGCTCCTTGTACGCCTTAAAACAATTTGATTTGGTAAACCTCTACCTTGAGTGGCTCTTGGGTTTTGTATTGGGCTAAAATTAGTATAAAACATTTAAATAGTGTGGAAAAAAAGCAAGTGTAAATGAGACCATCTTTGATATTATATTTGATATTCTCAGATTATGAATTGTAATGGCCTTACGATAAAATATGTTAGTAAGACCCGTCCACCCCACAAAAGTAAGAGCGACCGCTGTATTCTGCCTACAGACAGAATCAAGAAGCTCGCTCACTAGACGAAATGGTAGGATAAAAATAAACGGTAGAGTGGGAAAATCAAAGACTAGCCCAGTCTGCTTAGAAATGACAGCGAAACACTTGTCCCTCCCCAATTTATAAACAGACGCACAAAAATGCATGCTGGGATTTCTTCCTAGGCAATAAAATAGGTCAGTTCTCAGTTTCATCTGACTAAGTCCCAGTCAGTCTTACATTGATATCAGAACACTATATTTATCCATCCGAATTTGCTCCTGTGTGTCAACCCCAATTCTCAGTTTATGAACTTTTAGCCATATTACTGTTGCTTTGCCATACTACTTTTGCTTTGCCTTATTACTGTTAATTTGTATTGCATATATTGTTTGCTAGCTTTGTGTTATTTTTGCCCTGTTCTTTTCTTTTTTTGTTATTGCTTATTACAAACTTTGCAAATTCTGTTTGTTGGGCAGTTCTGCTATTTATTCACATTTTAACCATGGCAATTCACTTTACAGCTGCATTGATAAAAATTGACCATATATACTCGTATATAGACCGATTTCATGTATAGTGTGACGTCTGAATTTTTTGTGAAAAATCTGATTCTTAGTTTAACTTTTTTTGCCATATTACTGTTGCTTTGCCTTCTTACTGTGAATTTACCTTGCATATATTGTTTGCTTGCTTTATATTATTTTTGTCCTGTTCTTTTTGCTTATTGTAAACTTTGTCAATTGTGTTTTTTGGGCAGTTGTGTTACTTATTTTGCATTTGACCCTTGCCACTCATTCCACATTTACCTTTGATATCAGGAAATCTTGGGTATTCACGATGAATTTGAAATGAAGCTTGTAGGAAATTTAGTCGTCCAGGTTTTTTTTTTATATTAAAAATACGAACACTCGAATTCCAAACAAAAATAAAAGAAAAATAAAGAAAACATGGGTATGTCTGTTAAATAAATAATTTGCATTTACAAACATATATACATGACTTCAAAAGAGTTGATAGGTATCAAAAAATAGTCTATAGTCTTTGCATAGTTGGGACACCGAAAAGACTGTAGTTTATACAAAGCTTTTAAATAGTTGGTTCACCGTAAAAAGCTCTGTTTGGCAAAAGACTTTTATCGTGAGCGAAAATTCACTGTCTTTGTTGTTGGAGATGGTTCGTTTGAAGTCACCGACTGGCCGGCAGCGAAGATTTATTGTCCGCCCAAGCTTTTGTTATTGCAACTGATTCGTTTGAAGTCACCGACACGTTTCTTTGAGTCCACGCTGAGGAGGCGGCGTTCAGTTGCATATCTCTGCTCTGTTGTGTTCGTCTTTGAGAAAGCCTCTTCTCTGATCCTTGAAGGTCGAAATCTGTGGGGTTTTATAAGAAATCTGTTCCCGAAATTAAGCTCGAGAATAAGAGAGTTTTAGTTTTCTCTGATTGGTCAAATATTTCATATTGTGATGTTAATTTCTAACCAACAGACATATTGTGCGCAGATATGAAACATCGACAAAAGTTAAAATTGAATTAAACATACGACAGCATAAATACATGAAAAGTTCAAATAAAATACAGTCTTCGTATAAAAACACCTACACACACACACACACATACACATATATATATATATATATATATATATATATATATATATATATATATATATATAATATTCGAAATTCTGAATACAAAATTAACATGTATCTACTTTCAAAAGACTATGCACCAAAAACAATATGAATTTTTGCACTTATCTGTTTAATTTGTCACGAGCATGAAATGTATACGTCTTGATACCTTAACGAATAAGAAGGATTGATTTTCCTGCCTAACGATGCGGATCTTTTCAGATTACGTGATTGTTTTTATTCCCGTGAATATTTATAAGTTTTTACCGTTATTTTTGTTTGGGTCAAGGGGAGATAACTTTTGGTCTCTCGCTGCAGACACTTTGGTTTAAACTGTGTCAGCTTCATTGTGGAATCTTTTTGGCATGTTTTTAATATTGTCTGTTATTGGGTAGAAAATAAAGTTTGGTCTTGTTTTAATATGGTATTTATGTGGGCATGTAATAGTATTGGAAATAGGCTTTATTTCGTATAAACATCCCGGACACTCGAAGAAAGAGTAATTATTCTGATTTTTCTTTAAATTGTTGTTTTTACTCTACAGTTTCAGCAAATATATTATGTTGTCTTAAGTCAGTAACTTTTTTTTTACCTTCCCCAAAATGCGAGAATTCGGAGAATCTCTTCGTTACAGAGCAGACTGTGTTTTTCTCGTCATTATGAACTTTTGTACTCTCAATGACGCTATTGCCCGGGAGCGTCGATTTGGACTAAAACTTACTCCAGATCTCAAGTGGAATACAATCCTCCATATCTCATTTAGTTAAGCTCTATCTTGAATTACTCTTGGGCTTTGTACTATTTTATAGTCCATCCGATTACGCAAGAAAAACAAGATTTTTAATCAAAATTTCGAATGTTCTAAAATGGATTAAAAATTTTTAGTTTAAATTTAACTTTTCCACACTACAGTGTAACCCGGATATAAGAGAGTTGTTGAGACCGGAGAAGAAGTCTCTTATATCCGGGTTTGGTCTATTTTATATACATTAACACAGGCTCTAATTTGGGACCAGAGAAAATCTCTCTTATATCCGGGTTTCTCTTATATCCGGGTTACACTGTATTATTATAATAGGTCTCTCCACAAAATCGCTATAAAATTATCATACCGCGAGGAAAAAAAAATGGCCAAAACTTAATGAAAAGAAAGTTTTGTGGAGGACCGTGTGGGTTTGCGAGTTGTTGAATTAGGAATACGTGCTGTTTATTCCTAATAGAAGAAGGTCCAACTACAAGAAAATGGCGGACACAAATCTACTCCAATCTAAGATGTAAATAAAACAAACAAGACCGATATATATATATATATATATATATATATATATATATGCCAACAAATATATGTATTAAAAAAGATTTACAATGGACATAGACATCGACATTTGTGTGTGGACGTAAAAAGTTTGTATTTTGGTGAATGTTCGTATGGACGTGTATGTGTGTTTAATGCTGTTTCCTATAAGTGGGCAAAACGCGGATTTCTAGGAGAGATTACATTTTTAAATGTGTCCGCTGAAATGCAAAGTGAAAATGAGAACGAGGCAAGAAGTTGCCCAGTATTTATAGTGTAGGGAAAGCGACCTCTAGTGACAATTAGGGAATTAAGGAGAAGGTAACTCCGACAGTTTTATCGGCAAAATCTTTATTATTAAGAGGAAAGATCAAAGTATTTTTTTAATATTAAATTTTTTAATCGATTTTAGAACATTCGAATTTTTTATTAAAAATCTTGTTTTTCTTGCGTCAGCGGATGGACTATAAAATAGCACAGCAAATTTTAGCGTCTTTCTTTGCGGTAAAAGGTACATTTATTTGGAAATTCTTTCAAAAATCAAATAATTTAAGGAAATTTTCAGGACTTCATAACAAATGAATGAAATTATTTTAGAATTTTTCTGTAGAAAATCTTGGTAAAAATATATTTTTTAATTTTTTACATTAATTTTATGAAAACTCGAAAAAGTCAAGGAAATAATTTTTAGTGACTGGAGATTTTTTTTTTTTTTAATCGAACCCCCATTTACCAAAAATCTGCTCTGAATGGTAAAATAAAAAACACCATAAAACTGACATTATTTAATTAGAAAAACTTTTAATTTCTTTTATGAATAATATATATTAAGGACAGTGTTTTCTTACGAAAAAAATTTCGATGAAAAATAAATTTTTTAAAAGATTTGTTTTCATTTTTTTACAATTTTAATTGGAATAATTTATAAAACTTTTAAATCTTAGTTTCAATGATGTAATTGTTAGGGAATATTGTTATTAAGTAAAACTATATTTACTAATCATATATCGTAAAGTTTATTAAAATCTGTCAACCCCAAGAAGCATTTTTACCATAATTTGAAACATCATGGAACATTGGCAAAAAGTGGGTGGTTAATACAGAGCACTTTCAGTCGCACTGAACTATTGTATTTTCAATCCACGTTCTCATGTGATGACATCTTTCTTCACTTTATCCTTTGTTTTCCTGATAATCTTACTAACCAGCAACTAACCGGCGTTATATGGACTTCAGAACAGTTTGTGAGAGAGAGAGAGAAAGAGAGACAAAAAGGGTGTGATAGAAGGAGAGAAAAAGGAGAGTAAAACTGTGAGAAAAAGAGAAAGGAGAGAAAGAAAGGTTTAATAGAGAGACTGTGAGAGAGAGAGACAGGTTTGAGAGAGAAATGATGGGAGAGAAAGGTTTGATAGAGAGACGTAGTGAAATAGTGAGAGAGAAAGGTTTGATAGAGAGACGTAGTGAAATAGTGAGAGAGAAAAGGTTTGATAGAGACGTAGTGAAATAGTGAGAGAGAAAGGTTTGATAGAGAGACGTAGTGAAATAGTGAGAGAGAAAGGTTTGATAGAGAGACGTAGTGAAATAGTGAGAGAGAAAGGTTTGATAGAGAGACGTAGTGAAATAGTGAGAGAGAAAGGTTTGATAGAGAGACGTAGTGAAATAGTGAGAGAGAAAGGTTTGATAGAGAGACGTAGTGAAATAGTGAGAGAGAAAGGTTTGATAGAGAGACGTAGTGAAATAGTGAGAGAGAAAGGTTTGATAGAGAGACAGTGAGATAGAAAGGGTAGAGGCGAAAAGGTTTGATAGATGGAGTGAGATAGAAGGGTTTGATAAAGAGATGGAAAGAAAGAGTATGAGAGAGTGAGAAACAAAACGACAGCGAAATGGTGTGTGTGTATGTATGTGTGTGTGAGAGAGAGGGTAAACAAATGGACAGAGAGAGAATGAGAGGGGGGGAAGAAGCAGAAAATGGCGAGAGAGGAAGAAAATGTGACGATCTTTGATATCAAATAATCTCTTGGCATTAGGTTATCAGTTGTAATGACATTGATTCTTTTGCTGAGGATTTTTTTTTTGTTTGTTTGTTTAGTTGAAGGGAGAATTACACATAACCATGTGACTGATTGTAGTAGAGATATTATTGTAGTCGCATGAGGTTGTTTTTCGAAAAGGGTGACTGTAGTAATAGTACTATGTTGCATGCTAAACATGGTTAATTGGGGTGGAGGCTAAGTCGTCCTCTTGAGGGGAAATGAGACACGTCTTGCTAATACGATACCCTGCAGTTGAAGCACGAAAGAATCGAAAGGGGTTTTGTACCCTTTCTTTTTATACTGCTTCATATAACACCATTTAACAGTTGTTAGGCGTACACTTGTGGCCAAGATAACATAATCTCACAATATCAAATCTCATATTTGATATCAGATATGATATTTAAAAAAAAAGAAAATATATTGTGGCAGTGGGATATGCTGAAATCACGTCGGGGTCATTAAATGTTGCGATATTTGCTCCTGGTTAGACTAAAAGCAGTGGCAACAATATTTTAAACATTTCTGAGATGAGGTATTATGTACACTGTTTACATTATTCACACTATTGTCGTCATCTTTGTTGCCATATTTATTACAACGTTTCGGCCCTTCAGTATCTGTCTATATTTATGTACACTATTTACAGTATTAGGACTATTGTCCGCATCTTTTTCGCCATACGTATTACAATGTTTCGGCTTATTACAATGTTTGCTCCGGCCTTCTTCAAGTGGTTGGAATGTCGAACTGAACCCTTTATTTCGCTCACTGGGGTACCCTCTCAAAGTTCTCCACTGCCTTAACCGGGTATTGGACTCACACTCTTTGGGTCCTGGATCTAACTAACGCCTTTATCCACTGTGCCATGTGTCCTTGTATGAATTTCTGGGTATTATAAACCTAATGTCATCAGCAATCATTTTTTTACCAGTGCTCATATTGCAATTTTATGCTGTTATCAATAAATAAAAGTCAATACTTCATATTTATGGGATGAGAAATTATAAATATTTACGCTATTCGAACTATTATCCTCATCTTTGTTGTTGTTATCACAACGTTTCGGCGGTTGTGACCTCCTGCCTTTATCAAGCGTTTGTTAATCCGGGTAACTTACAGTATACATACGATATAGCAACGCTCATAAATATTCATCAGGTTAGTTGAAAAGTTAGGCAAATTATGGAGGACACGAACTGACATAATTCAATGTCTGAAAGACGAAAGTGAGTAATTGATGTTTTTGAAAGAAAATTGTTGCAAATTAGAATTTAAATTATTTTAGTTTGGGATTAATTTATGTGTTATATATTTTGAATAACATGAGTTTATGGATTTTTGTAATCATATAAGTTGACTTGGAGAAGTAGTAATTCTTTCAAGAATGGAGATATTGGGAAAAAAACCGGGGTGCCGATTTATATTTTGGTAAGATTCAATAGTAGCACTCTCGAGAATTTTCTTTTTAATTAAGTTACTTTCTCTTTTAATAAGTGGGGCATTTTAGATGTTGCTGTAGAATTTATTTCTATGTATAACTAATGCGTTTGATAAATTGTTGTGTGTAATATCCCTTTTGTGTTCATAGATATTTTTTTTCTGAAAGATTCCCCAATATATTGTGAGGAAGAGTTCTGACATTTTATTTCATATATATATATATATATATATATATATATATATATATATAATGTTGTTATTATTATATATATATGTTATTTTTATTATATATATATATATATATAATTTTTATTATATACACTGCGTGCCAAATTATTATCGAGATAACTTTTTTTTCTAATATTTCAAAAACCGTCCAATCAATTCACACAATGTTGGCAACACTGACCTGCGCAATCACTGAAATTTTCTTACTGGTCTGCGCAATGTAAACAAACTGGCGCCATATTCGTTATCAGCACGGTGATTTGAGCGTGCCAAATTATTAGAAAGGTTTAGTAAAATTCCCAGAATTGAGCAAACGAAACGTTTATTAATGTTGCACGTGAACGTTTATGATGAAAAGAAGCTAATAAATAAGATAATCAAACAAATAATAACAGATACAAACAAAGGCACAGTTTTAAACAAATTAATAGGGAATGTGCTTTCCCTATTTTGAAATTACTTGAAGAAGTCGACGATCCATAGAATTTGTTAATTTTAGGATGTCATCTGCTGTAATGACATCCTAAAATTAACAAATTCTATGGATCGTCGACTACATTCCTTTATTCCGCCATGATACGTCCACAACTGTGCATCATCCACATTACCTTTGTACTCTTGTAGTAAGTTCCAATCGGACAGCTTCTTCCCAAGAACTGCTGCTTTGTGGAAGTCTCCTAACATAATGTTTTCCTAACCAATACAATAATGACCTTTTCAAGTCTAGCGTTAACCGTTATCTTTCCTCTATAGCCCCAGGAACTTCATTTCTTGTCCTTTTTTACACTTCCGTCCTGGGTATGACGATAAACTGCATGCGCGTGCTGGGTAAGATGATATACTACGTCCAATAGCAAGGAATCTGATTAGGAGGTTTTGAGGAACTTGGAACCACCTCTTAATTGCTGGTGTTCCCAGGCCCGCCCTGACCCGGAGTGATAGCACCTGTTAGGGCCCCAGCTATGGGCAAATAGTTAACCCCGAAACTGGTGTAAAAACACTATCAAAATGTAAAAACAGGTTTTAATACCAGAAATACTTTGTAGAAAATTATTTCCAGCAATAATTTTTGAAGAAAAAAAACTATTACCAGCTATACATTTTTTGAGGAAAAAAATATTACCAGCAATAGTTATTTTGAAAAAAATTATTGCAGCAACACATTTTTGAAAACAAAATTACCAGAAATAGATTTTTGACAAAACAAAATATTACCAGCAATGGAAATTTTGTCGGCATTAAATAACCCATTGGGGTTGATATACCGTAAAACAAAACAAACCTACCAAACTTTCCTACACTGATTCAACACCAGACAGTAACTCTCTACCTTGAGTGACTCATGCGCCTGGGATTGGGGGAAAAGTAGTAAAAAATTAGTAAAAAAAAACTTCCTGCATAGACCCATGAATTTCACTCTTGCTTTGTCTTATGCTCATACAACACCATGCAGAGACTCTTGATCTTTGCATTAGGTGAAAGTTAATATAAAAATAGTCTGAAATATATCTAACTTTGAATTAGTTACTGAATAATATTTGAGTTGAGTTAGGTTAACATTATCACATTTTATCAAAATATGTCATATGGAATGCGGCTCAAGATGTTATACACTTTGATAGTTCTGAATTTTGTAACATATTTTGGATTGTATGTGTATATCCGATGCGGAACCTGGTCATAAGCACTTTCTCTTTTCTTCTCTGAGAGACTCCTTACACCTTCAAGGGCTAATATGAAGTGAAAAGACTATATTGAACCCATTGTTAGGCCAACTGCTAAGAAAGTTGGTTCACTGTGTTGTAAGAGACTATTTTTATCTCCAGAGTCTGTCTTTAAGTCTGCCATTCGTCCATGTTTAGAATATTGCCTGCCAGATCTGGTATGGTGCTCCTGTTATATATTTAGAGATTCTTGATAAAATGCGAAGAAGAATCAGCAATATTATTGAACCTGATCTGGCCTCTCTGTTTCAGTCACTTTCTCACCGCCGTAAAGTTCCTTCCCTTTGGATTTTCTATAAATATATTCATACTAATTGTTCGAATTAATTCTTCGCTATAGTGCCTAGAATTATGAATTTAAGCGCAGTACTAGATTGGCAACAAGGTCTCATCAATTTGCAGTTGAATGGTCTATATGTAACCGTAAGTTCTATACTAACAGTTTCTTTTCTCGCACTTCTCTTTTGTGGAACTCTTTTTGGTTCATGCTTTCCAGTTAACTTTGATCTTCAAAAATGTTAATGTAGGCACCTCCACTAATTTGCGATAGCTAAGGTTTAAAATAATTTTTTAAAAATTGAAAAAAAAATTCTTGAAGCTTTCTTTTTAGCTTTAATCAAAAGCTAAATGATTAAATTTACTATTTCTAGTAAGCAAAATACTCTGGTGTATTTTAAATAGAAATTACATTGATTGGTATCGATTTTTTGGTTGCTTTCAGTAAAATCATTAAAATCGGACATTTTGACACAGAGTTAATTCTCGGTTTTAAAAATCTTCCAAAAATAAAATATACTTTTTCAGAAACATTATTTGAGAAATATTAGCCGATTTAAAGCATAATTGATCTGATTTGGAAAAAAAAATTCTTTAACTTTAAAATAGAGAAATTGATTTTTAAAACAAACTATTGTGATGATTACGTACTTGTCATCGCTCGTCAGTCATGTAGCAAGTGCTGATAAAGCTGTTGACACATTATTGTTCTACAGAGACTTTATCTGTTAAAACATAATTTAAGAAAATGACGGATGTTGGAAAATATTCTTCGTAATCTAATTTTAGGAATGTCTACTTTTTATGTTGTAATTCAATGCAACATGTGGCTCACTGCAGACTGAAAAGTTCCCTCAAAGCAAAGTGAGGTTTGTCCTATTTCTAAGGCTTCCTTATATACTGCATTAGGCAACGCCATCTGGCAGCTGTTAGCAGAAGTTCTTTGTGAGATCAGTGAGGTAACGCTCACAGTACCATGTAATTCCTTGTTAGATAAGAAACTGTACTTCTTAGAAGACATATATGGGTTAACGTAACACGTTCAAAAATAAAGAGGTTAATATTTTTACCTGTTAAGTTTCAAACCACATTTATTATGTAAGATCCGCTTTCTTGCGGTTGTTAGCAGAAGTTCTTTGTCAGACAACTGGAGTAACCCCGTAGTACTATTTTTTTAAGGCAGTTCACCCCAAGCAAGGCGGGAATACCCTGTTACATAAAAAACATTTAATATGCAACATCTCCTTTCTGAAATTTACAACTTGTCTTCATTTTGTTCTCTCCGCATTGCAGTGACTGATACCTGTTTTCCTGTATTTAGTCTCTGTGAATCTATATTTTATCTGTTCTTGGCTGACTTAGAGAAAAAAAAACATTGGCGTTCAAGGTGTTAAGCAACATTTTCTTATTAAACACAGAGGTGGAAAGTTTTAACGAATATTGTTCAGTTCATTAGCTCCCCAGAGCGTAGTATCCATTGCATTGTTTATCTCTGCACTCATTAAAAAAAATAGGGTAACTAGAATTTCAAATGTTTCTTGAGTTTCATACGTAATACTTAAATTACACACTGTTCTATAATGATCACTAAATCTGTTTGAGACGTTGTAAACAAAATTGATTCGCTTTTTCGGGTGATAAAATCACCATAATTCCCCATGTATAATAAACTTTCACCCATAATAAGCACACCAAAAAGTGTGCTGAAAGTGTGGGAAAATGCTTCTACTCATAATAATAATACGCACCTTTTGTCTGGTAATCAAACCCTGTAAATTTTACTTCTCCAATTTTATTACGGTCAGCCTTTCCTACTTTTATTTTTAAAAATGGTTTAAAACATAGAATAATATTATTCTAATTTGGTTTTATGATAATTCTTATTTTATTTTACGGCAATTTTTTAAAGATTTTTTGCAGCTGTGCATAATACGCACCCATGATTTTGCTTATTTTTTTAGAAAAAAATGCGTATTATACATGGGGAATTACGGTAAGTGATTTTTTTTAGCGTAACAGTCATTTCTATTTGTGAAGTAGTGATGCCAATAATGACTAATAGTCTGCAAACTACACAGTCAGTTCTCTGCTGTGTAAAGCCAAATAAATATGCTGAAAAGAGTCAAAAATAGCACATCGGAAAAGAAATTGAGGAGAAAACTGATGAGAGCAGGCAATTTATTCTTACAAAGCAAAATAAATCAATTAACGAAAATATCTTGCCAATAGTGTCAATAGAAAAATATCTCTCTTTTTTTAAAATTTATTTTTAAACTTTATCCGTTTAAACCAGAAATTCATCCATTTCTCCGTTGTCTTCATTTCAAACGAAAGCAAATTTGATGGCAAGAGCTTACAACAATATCACCTTGAAACACCTATTCTCATACGAACACCGAAGTTAAGCAACGTCGAGCCTGATCAGTACCTAGATAGGTGACCTCTCTTGGGAATACCAAGTGCTGTAAACTTAGCTATAAGGGCAGTGTAATGAATAACAGTTCGGAATTAAAACTCCCTCCCCTTCTCGTTTTCCAATTCCAATCGACATATTCACTTACGCACAAATACACTTGCAAAAGTCATGAATCCGCCTCTTCTCACCTAGCTATGGGTTAATTAGTAGGACTTGTATCAGTAAATCATTATTATCTCAAGAAAAAATTCTTACAATCTGAAAATATTTTCTGGCTTTAAATAACCTGCAAAAGGTCGATAATCTGTAAAAAAAAACAATCACAAATATAATCATAAATATTTTTTAAGCAAATCTAAATAAAATCTTTTCCGTTTTTTGGAGGCGTTAAAATTTATTCGGCCGTATTCCATTTGTAAGGAGGAAGGTCTAGTTACCTATTTTTATTGAGAACTGCTGGTTTGTGCAAAGTTCGCGTGTACGCTGAACCCGGGGCCGGGCTCGGGTGTACGCTGAAGACGGGGCCGAGCTCGGGTGTACGCTGAAGACGGGGCCGAGCTCGGGTGTACGCTGAAGACGAGGATAAATCTTGCGGGTACTCTGAATTCGAGGACAGAATCCGCGTGTACTCTGAATCCGGTCCGAAGTCTTAATCCCCAACCCACTGAATAACCACGTCATTTTTTGACGAGAACAATGCTATCTATTTTGAAAGTTATGAGTCCACCCTTCCTGTCAAAAATATCTGTTTTGTTTCTTTCTTTTCTAGATTCTCACGAGATTATCATTTCTTTGTGTTATTCATTCAAACAATTTACCTTTGTTATAACAAGGACACTGCCACCGGGCATCAACAACGCATTGGAGATAACTACTTATCTCTCTCTCTCTCTCTGACCGACGACATTAAATGTTCAAAGAGAAATATAAAAATACACTTAACGTATTATATAAAATTTGTAGTTTAATTTATATTTGTTTGTTTCTTTTCTCTTTCATTCAAACGGATCTTTTTATCGTATATTACTTAGATTGGTAATGCATTGGCGGAAAAAAACAGACCCCCTTCAATATAGGCACACCAATAGCGAGGTTAGAAAAAAAAATCCTTAAATCTCTTCCCAAATACAAACCAATCTTTTATTACTCTGATAAGAATAAAGAGTCAAAGATTTTACCAGTAGTCAATCCTTGAAGAAAGAACCGTTTGTCTCCTGAAACTACGACGACCACTTCGGAATCGTCAGTCGACAAAAGTTCTTTTCTTCGTCCTATTCCTATAAATAAAAATGACACTGTGGCATGTTTTTGAATACAAGACCCAAGAGCCACTCAAGCTAGAGTCCTGCTAAATAAGGTTGTTGGTCAGGAATCAGAACAACAGAACTTCTGGTCTTACGGCAATATCACGTTGAAACGCCAGTTTTCGTACGATCAGCGAAGTTAAGCAATATCGAGCCTGGTCAGTACTTAAATAAGTCATTGCTTGGGAATACCAGGTGCTTTAAGCTTGGGTGTGCAGATGGTGTCAATTATAACGATTTAGAATTGGAAATCGGAGAGTCGAATTCTAATTCCATTAAGGTTCGTTATATTAATTTACATGCAAATACCCTTGGGAAAGGTATTGATCCACTTCTTCTCCCACAAGCTATGGGTTAATTTGTATTTACTCAACCCTCAAGAGGTCAGGTTGTGGCACAATGTCGATTTAATGTGGGGAGCCCGAGCACATACACCCGGGCTAGGAACAAAATTTGCCCGAGTTCCCGCAACCGTCGGTTGCGCTGGTCTCGGTGCGAGCACTGATCCCTCTCTCTGGTGCAATGATGGGCTGGGCACCTCTCGGTATAATTTTCCTCAGTTGCGACTCTGTCCTTTGACGGAGTCGCCCCTGAGTCCACTCTGTCCAAAGACAGAGACGCAACAGAGAGATGATAAATAGGGTGTTACAAACCACTCGAGAGAGCGATTTACACAGCTATGGGTTAATCAGTAGGACTTGTATCAGCAGATCATTATTATCTCCCAAAATAAAATAATATGATGCATAATTTCAAAATTAAAAATCATCAAAAATAATTTTTCTTCAAAAACAGTTAATGAGTGTTTCACAGTGAACAATTTTAGCAAGTTTTGCAAACAACCAATTACCGACTTCTATGTTTGCGCACGTGCCGCTTATTATTAGAACCTTTTCAGGACTTCAGAAATAATTTCGAAAGAAATACTTCTGATTTACACACACACTCTCTCTCTCTCTCTCTCTCTCTCTCTCTCTCTCTCTCTCTCTCTCTCTCTCTCTCTTAGCCATTTGGTGGTCTTCTACACCGAGAGCCATTATCCCGTTTTCAAAATGTTTACGGATCACAAAAGTAATTAAAATGACCCGTGTTTTTTATTTTCATTTTTTTCCCTTCGTTCTTCACAAGTTTTCCTCATTTTCTTTTTTCTAAAATGAAGTGCGTTTTATACATGGAAATAAGTTTTTTTTTTTGTTTTGTTTTATTTTTATTTATTTATTTTTTTTACTGGAATTTCTCTGCCTTTTTAACTGTATCTTTTCTTCCTACAAAGGATTACGGTAATTTTCGGGTTTTTTTAATCACTTTTATCTTAAAAAAATTTATTTAAAAATGCAGTTAGATTTTATTAAATTCTATATTCGTCATTATTTGCGATCATTTGTTAATTATCAGGCAGCCCTTCAATGCCTTTTGAGTAAAATCCCACAGTTTTTGAAGCGAAAAAGTTTGCAACGAATTCCTCAATATGGTTTTCATTAGAAAATGTTTTCTTCATTAAAGCTTTTGCAGCGATCGAAAAAAAAGATAATCATTTGGTCAAGGGTCAAAGGAATATGGGGGATGGAGGGAAGAAATAGATCAACCGAGAATTTTTTTCCTGTGTTATTCATGATGTTTGTAGCCTTGCTTTTTATTGTTTTTTACGGCTTATCAACCTTTTGCAATTTATTCAAAGCCAGAAAATAATTTTAGATTTTAAGAATTTTGTGTATAATAAGGATTTGCAAATACGAGTCTTATTAACCCATAGCTAGAGGGAGAAGAGATGGGTTCATCCCTAAGATTATCTGCGTGTAAGTGAATATAATGAACTTGATTGGACTTAGAACTCGGTTCTCCGATTTTCAACTTCGTGCCGTTATCCATTTCATCAGCTGCTCATCCAAGTTTACAGCATCATCTAGGTACTAACCATGCTCGACGCTGCTTAACTTCAACGATTGTACGAGAACTGGTGTTTCAACGTGATATACCCGTAAACCTCGAGGCCTTATAAAGGAAAACAATGTTTTTTTTTTCCTATTTACATGCACATGGCACTTCTCGGCTAAACTTTTATGGACACGTTGCACCTGCTGGATGTATAAATGTGCGTTTAGTGTTTAATTATGTTTTAAGAATTCTAAATGAATAATATGCTCGCGATCTCACCAGCATTAGATGTCACATCAGCGTGTGATCTTCGTGTCGAATGTGGTTTAAAACCACACAGATCTACTAAAGTGTGCTATCTACATGTCGAATTTAATCTACAGAAACACAGATCTAGTCATGGACAACCATTTCGGGACTGTGAGCAGCATGAGGTACAATACATCCTATGGCGGGCCACACTAATAAAAATATCGCGGGAATTTTTCATTAAAGATAGCGAAGCCATTTTCTCAACAAAAGAACATGCGCACTGCATTTGCCTTAACGGGAAAGAGTCGTTTTTTGTTGTTGTTTTTTCTTTGGAGAAAAGATTCCTTCTCTAATTTAAAAAACTGAAGTTTTCGTGTAATATTATCACTGATGATACAGGGATTAACGCGTACTGCTGTATGTGATTTATTTCTAATTTATTTGATGATGCAAAAACATTTTTCCTTAGTGAAAATCTTCAATGGTTTAAAATGCTGACAAGTTACAAAATTCAAGAAATATTGTATTTCATTATTGTTTATGTATGTGGTTATGTATGAGAAAATGTGTGAGTGAACAAGTGAGAACGAAAGGAAACAACATTTTAATAAACATTATTTCCTCATAAAATTAAGCATGCCATTCAGAATGCTAACCTGACCACATTATAACCATGACTGGTCTAAACTGTCATCTGTATATAACGGTTTTTCTCAGATTAAGGATTTAAAAATGGCTCCAAGAGCAGACAGGTCTGTGAAGACGGAACACAAAACCTCTGACTCTAACTTTTTCTTTGTGTAATTAAGTGATTATGGACTACAAACCTCATAAAGCCTATGCATACGATCTTGTTTTGAGTAGGCCTATATCATCAGAACTATTAATTTATATATATATATATATATATATATATATATATATATATATATATATATATATATATATATATTAAGACATTTTTATGTTTATACATTCTTTTTATAGATACAAATATTTAAGTAAATGCTCTTTTTATAATAAACAGTATAAAATAACATTTACCGGCCTGAATTCATATATTATACTTAAATATTTGTATCTATAAAAAGAATATATAAACATAACATATAACATTTACTTAAATATTTGTATCTATAAAAAGAATGTGTAAACATAAAAATGTCTTAAAATAATTGTCGGACTTTGTCCATTTCATGTGTGATGTCATTTGTTTACATTTGGATACGCCATGAGCAGATATGAATGTACGTGGGAGAATCATGGAAGATGTAGTTTAAAGACAGTAAATCGACCTTGCTAACCTCTGTGGCCGAATCGGTTAAAGCATGTCAAGCTAAATGACGGTTCCGTGTAGGATACAGGTTCGATTCCTGTCCGAGGACGAATATTTTCTGTGAAAATTTCTCTGCCATTCAGGCCGGTAAATGTTGTTTAATACTGACTTTGTCCATTTCATAATATATATATATATATAAAGCAATTCACCCCAAGCAAGGCAGGAGTGCCGCTAGCACGCAAGGGGTTACAAGGGATTGAGAACAAGAGTAAAGAGGCCCTTTTTGAGGAAAGGATACAGAGAAGAACGGGGAACAAGATCAAGATATCAGAAGATGTCGATTGACATTACACTTGAATATTTGATGATTATAGTTATCAGGGGAAGCAAATATGAAGAAGGAGTTCACAGACGGGAAGTGCGAGAGAACAAGCTGTTTGAGCAGAAGAGACAGTTACATTTAACCGTTTCGACAGTGAAAGGGTGGGACCGAGATGCCAGCCTAGTAGCTCGCTTAAATTCATGCAGTCTGGGAACCAGTGAAAGTAGCTCGTCAAAACAGTTGCCGTGAAAATACTTATAGAAGAGACAGAGAGAAGCCACGGCACATCTGTGAGAAAGCGACTGTAGACGAGATGCCAGATCAGAGCCTATCATATTACATATTCGTCTCTGGATTTTGTCGAGGACCTCGAGACGTACAGCGGGGACACCAGACCATATATGACAGCAATATTCCATGCAAGGACGAATGGTTGATTTATAGATTTGAAGGATGGACTCAGACGAAAAAAAACTTTCTGGCACGGTCAAATAATAAAGATATTGTGGCTTTTATATCATACCTATTTATTCTTTAATATTTTCTAATTAAGTGATTATGGCCTAAAAATCTCAAAGCCTACACATACACTCCTAAGTTGAGTAGGCCTATATCATTATAACTGGTTTATATCAAAGAATAAAGACACTGTGGCTTTTATATCATACCTATTTATTCTTTAATATTTTCTAATTAAGTGATTATGGCCTACAAATCTCATAAAGCCTCCTAAGTTGAGTAGGCCTATATCATTCAAACTGGTTTATATCAAGGAATAAAGATATTGTGGTTTTTATATCATACCTATTTATTCTTCAATATTTTCTTGGGATTTTTTCTTTCCTTCTATTTAAAAAAACCCTGAAGTATTCGTATATTATCACTGATGAAAGTGTGATTAAAACACATTGCTGCCTGTGATTTGTTTCTAATTTATTCATTTAACTATGAAAAAAAAATTTGTAAAAGAGTTATAGTTATTCTTTAGATAAAAATAATTATCATTAACATTTCCTGTTTCTGAAACAAAAGATGTTTACACGTATGATCTTCCTTAGTGAAAATCGCCAATTGTTTAAAATGTTACCTTCAAGAAAAAGTTACAACATTCAAGAAACATTGTACTTAATCATTGTTTATGTATGTGGTTATGTATGAAAGAGTCTGTGAGTGAATAAGTGAGAATGAAACAAAACATTTTGATAAACGTTATTTTCCTTAAGAAATTAGGCGTGCCGTTGAGAAAGCCACATGTGGTCCGAGAATTACCTTAAAAGCACTGAGTCAGGTTGTGATACAAGATCGTTTTTTTACATGGCTGGAATGTTTCCCTAAAAAAATTTGATCAAAGCTTGTTGTTATGGCCGGTCATACCATCGCTACTCAACGGTGAGGGGAACGCAATGGAGGAGAGAAGGCACGGGGCAGATACTACAACTGCAGCACCTACTCCGACGGGAAAAAAACCTTCT